CGTTATAAGAACGATGTCGTCAGCAAAACGAAGGTGGTGTAGTTGCCGGCCGTCGACCTTCACTCCCATGTCTTCCCATTCCAGTTGACGCATGACGTTCTCGAGAGCGGCGCTGAAGAGTTTGGGCGAGATGGTGTCGCCCTGTCGAACCCCTCTCTTGACGTCGATGATGACCTCCTTGTAGAATGGTGAGATTCTGGTCGTAAAGTTGCTGTAGAGCTCACGAAGAATCTTGATGTACTGAGTAGGGACGCCCTGGTTGCCCAAGGCTTCGATGACCGCTTCTGTCTCCACAGAGTCGAAGGCCTTCTTCAAGTCGATGAACGTGAGACAAAGCGGCATCTTGTACTCTCGTGCTGAACCCTCTTCGAAACCCTGCTTGCTCGCATGGCTGTCCTTCATCCAGTATTCTGCCAATCCTGTTGAGGATGACTCGAGTATTGAAATATTGAAATCTTGTGCGAAACTAACGATCATAATAAGCGTGCTGCATGCAGAGCGTTGGTCAAGCGTCTCAAGAACTGTGTAAAGCCCAAAGGCGGTTACCTATACACTATTGGATTATCATGTTTATAATAAGTAATATTCAAGTCCATTTTGAAATGCCGCCAAAATATTGGTACATTAGCAGTTTTGCTACACCCTTTAGTGTTGTATTTTTAATATCCATTGTTATGGTCTTTTCATTTTGGATTTATAGAGGAAGAACAGTTGCAATCTGTGGGTCATTCTGCACCACTACTGGAGAAGTTGGTATTCACTAGCGAGGAAGTCTGCAGGCAACGGATTCCGCTTCCTGAAGATGTTCATGTTGGGTCGATTCCATAATTTTTCTCTCATATTGGTAGTGTGAACCGTTCTCTTCTCATTAAGGTTGTATCTGCAGCACCTACCGCAGGACACCTTCCCTCATCATCCGTATATCCTGCTTGCCAAGCTCCTCATTTGGTGCTGACGAATTGTGACGGTTAGTTTTTTTTTTCAACAGTGTCAAATACGACAGTTTTTGTTCACTTGTATTTATGAACTAAAAATTCAGTGAGATCTTTTTTGGTTTTCCATAACAGTGTTTACTCATTTTAGATGACAAGGTACGTTTTTGGAGATGTGTTGTATCCGAGCAAGGATCTGAACAGAAGTACGAATGGGCGGAATGGAATATGATCAACGATAATCAGTCGAGTGAACTGGAATTGGAAGGTAGGTTGGGAATGAAATGAGCGTTTTTCTTTCTAACTCATACTTTACAGGAACTATTTTCTCCGTTTCCGCTGCTCATGGTGGACGAATCGCTTGCGCATATGATCCTAGAGGAGAGTGTCTGGAAGCACAGAACATTTCTGATGTGACTTTTTCAGCATATAAGCAGTCAGGTCTAGCATACGTGGCAATAGAATGCGTAGTCGTGGCCCGCTTCATGCAAGTGTGCACTTGACAAGCCGGCTATGTTTCGAATACGTGCCCTACTGCCATGTATCGAGAACGCGACTCGATCCCAGCAATAGCATATCATCGATAGACCATAATTCAGGTGGAAATTGGAGTTTTCGAATGCGAGTCTTCTGGTGGTGCTGAGTGGTTCCGTGAAGATACCTTCGCTGTTAAGCACGTCCAGACTTCGAATTTCTTCTCGTTAGTCGACTTCATACATTTCAAATATCGTTACTTTCCTGTCTTTGATTGCAACTGTTGGAGGTTTTCGAAAGGAACCCGCAACAAAGTAAAACACCGTTCGCGGATTCGTACTGAGCACGCAGGTGGACCATTGATGGCGGGAATGGTAAACAGGCCCACTCAACGGCCAGCCTGATAATGGCTCGTTCTTTGCTCGCTGATTTCCGCATCGATGCGACTCTCATCGGTGCTGCCCTCTTCAATGCTAATGCTCTCTTTGGTAAACGGCTAGAGCCAGACGGCGAGAGGACGCGTGCCGCGGCTCGTGCGGCGTGGGTATAGCCCTTCTAGGAAGCTGGAGACATACTCTCCGCTGCCAAATGGGCGTCGTCCCACACTCTTAGAGGGACCTGCCTGCTTTCAAATATGTGTCCCCTTCTCTGACCACCAACCTTATCGTAATTCTCCCTTAACAGAGTATTGGCGCAGAGCTTCAACGAAAAAGCCATCTCAGAAAGGTTTCCAAAAGCCGCTGTCTGCTTTCGCGCCTCTATGAGAAGCGCGTTATATTCAGAAAGTTCTTCAGACAGGTACTTTGATCCTATCGGGATTAGCAGCGCAAGGCTGTTTTCCACATATAATAATGCCAGTAGAGCGCGCTCAGGTAAAAAGGAACACAGCAAAATCGAACAGAGCCAGTTAGTCGAATTTCTGGAAGGAAAAATGTGGTAGGGAGTCTTCGCAAGATTTTCGGGTTGATCTCAGTGATATGGCATGAAGGAGTCCACTAGCACTAGAAGAGACATCGGGAATTCCCCAAATACGGTTTCCTTCCTCCTGTGAAGGGGGTCGCTATTATGCGTAGTGGCGGCATATGAAAAGTGACTGGTGATGCAACGCGTTGTTGAACTTGGAGCGCGTTCTATATTGGAGCAGCAGTTGAAAGGTGGTCATTCAAACGGCTGTAGTGCTGTTCCAGGGTGGAGGAGGTAAAATTGAAAAGAAAAGTTCGAGTGTCTTGGTTCGTACTCTGAAATGTTTTGAACTCATGTAGCGTTATGAGGAAAGAAACTATCACGGCAAATTGATGAGGATTTTTTTGGAACATGCGAGTTTGCACACCTATAGAAACCATTCTTGATATTTAACTTTCTTGAACAGCTTCACCAGTCTTCAAGAAGCGCAGGTCTCCTAGCTAAGAGAGGCATAATTCTTCTTTCCGACTGGATGCCTGAGAAGAACGTTATGTCTAAAACAGTAGAAACTCGGATGTTCCATAATTCGGGTGTGGTTCACTAGGACAGAAAACCACTTTTTCGTAGGTTTTCGCAGCGCTAAACATTGTTCGTTGGCGGAAACTTTTGGATCCACTGATGATTCGCTGCGGGAGTCGACTGATGATCAGAGATGGACCTGAGATTCCTGCAACGGAAAATTTTTCGCGCTGCGAAACGCGAAAAAGTCGCTTTCTGTCTTAGGTCGACGGACTACTTGAACTCAGCCTTTTAAACCGTCTCTGCGCCTCTCGCGGGTCCCTCTCCTTTCCAAGGCTTAGTCCTAGGGCATTCGCCCGTTCTCTAATCGTCTGTGCTCTAGCCATCGCGGCAGGACCATTGAGGAAAAATCAAGTAGTCCGTAAAGCCAGTGGACGACCAATAACTCTCCGGGTTTTTTTAAGAAGAATCCGCGACGGTGCCATTTTTGATACTCTGATCGTTTAAAGTAGTTTCATCACATTAGAAAGAGAAAATTCTCACACTTACCTGTGCACAATTCCTTTTAGCGATTGTGTACCTCTGAGGGACGCATGCCTCCTTCGACCTCTGGCACACTGTGAAACTCGCGTGTATCCAATAAAGTTAACGCCCCACAGTTGGGGGAGGGCGGGGGGGGGTGGGAGGGGAGGGGTGTAATTCATTTCCTACTATCCAGTGCAAGTGTAGTAATCTCAAGAATATACTGATTGAGGTGCTTCAAAAATCTTTTCTTTTTTCCGATTTGTACTATTTAAAAAGCTCATTACACCTTCAAGAAGTGTACGATACTCAAACTCTGCTCCAGCAAATTCGCCGCAATATCAACGTTCGCTTTGCAGTAGGGTTCGCGTTTCTCAGTTTACACTCAAAGAGCAGATGGGAGAGTGACTCATGTCAGTAACCGCGCGACACCATGCTTGCCTTCATACTCAACGCAAAGTGTGAGTAATACAGCAGCGCTGATTGTTTTCTTTCTAGGTGTCAAGGAGTCGCAGCTGACCGTGCACCATCTTCTTTGTCAGAACCCTCACAAATTAATTCAAGTTTTGAGGGTGAGTATCGGCGTATTTTTCTATACAATTCTGAGATGCTTTCATAAGAGAGCTCCTGACCGGATCATTAAATCCGCCATTACCTTCTATGTGTTATACATGGTTTCTAGCCATCGAATTTTGAGTTGAATATTCGTGAATTTTTAGCGACTATTCGAGATGTTGTCCGACTTGATTGGGTTTCTACTGAAGATGGCTCTCACATTCTCACTGCTGGAGTGGGAGCCAAAATCTATATGTACACCCAGGTAATTTTGGAAGTCGTATCAAATTCTTGACTCCCCTTCACTGTTTGCTTTTCTAGGTTTCGCTGGATCCTGCTCAACGAAACGTGACGTTAATGAAGGAAAGCGAAAGTACTCTCAGGCGTCCTTCTCTACAAAAGGCTTCATCTCTTGTTGCGTACCCCCATTCACATAATCGCCTTGTACGTTGTTTTGCATCAGTTCACATCCAACCGCAGTGTAGTGCCTTTTTGCAGTTCATAGTGATAGTTCCTGCATTGCTGGGTTCATTGTAATTTTTCCATACAAATTGAAGGCTCGGTGGGTGTGCGCACGAGTTCTGGAACTGCATTCCGCCGATGGTCTACCTCCGTTACCCACGACCCTTGGCTGGGCTCGTGACGGTCTGCTAATTGTTGGGATGCCAAGCGAGATGCGCGTCTACAATCAGTGGAATATGCAGCGAAGGAGCGACGACCAAAACATGAAGTTGGTAGTTACTTCAAAAGTTTTACTTTGAAATTCTCATTTTTTTAGTTGAGTTAAAATTTCTATTTTCTAGTTCACATGTTTTAGTTGTTACGATGCCGCGCATACTGCCACATTAACGGCTGTGCGATGCGCACCTCGCACAGCCGTTCGTTTGTCACCTTCGTTTTTTGCAAATGCGCGACATCTTTTTGGCTTTTTTTCTATATTTATTCTGCGCAAAGCTATACCGATGGGAGTAACGTTTTCACTGGAATGAACACGTTCGAGTGCTTTAGATGTCCATTTCGGCTGAAGCAAGTAAATCTTATTTTTTAATATTAACAAGTCCTTTTGGTTGAAATTCTACTGGGCGGCCGCGCTCATGAGGTCGCGCTGGTCCCACGCTGCCGAAAAAGTCAAAACGCACACGGACGTCAATGTGCTAGGTGGTCTGAGGAAAGGGTTAGTTATGAGGATCTTGGTCACATCTAACAATGTGGTCCAACTTTTATTTTTGGCCTTCTCAAAAACCAATAGGCTCGATCGATACTGCACAATACCGCTTGAATTACAATTTCTGTCACACACACTCTGTAGTGTGTTCATTGCCAGTTTGGGGCCGCAACATAGCCAAATTTTCCTATCGATATCATTGATAACGTGTAGCTGTCGGTTTCGACGACTGCAACCCGCTTGATGTGGTACGTTAGGGTTAGGATAGGAAGGGACTTCTTCGCTTTTTGCAGTGCGAAACATTTTGCTGCGATAACCTCGCAAAGTCCAGTGGTAATCATGGTGGACTGAAGTTCCTAGCAAAAATGTTTCGCGCTATGCAAACGCGAAAAGTGGCTTCCTGCCTCTCGAACGCTATAATGTTAGCTTAACTATATATATCACATTCTATAACGTCGCTACGGTTGCTTCTTTCTCTTTAGGTTTATCTAAAAACTCAAATGATCTAGCTGAGTAATTCGCGTCTCCACGTCTCGAACGAGCTAGAGTATTTGTTTGGGAATGCCTCATTGCAGGCACCAGGACCGAATTTCACAGTGTCAACTCGTAGTTTCCCATCCCAGTCACACCTGATGCTTGATCAGTTGCATGGAAAAAAGGAACTTCCCAGTAATAAAAGCAGATTGTTTGTGGATTTAATAAACAGGTCTGTTTTAGTCTACAATAATCTCTTAATTTTCATTGTAATACAAGGCCAGCAACGGAAGTATTATGATTAGTTTGGGCAGAAAAAGTTGATTTGCGATCTGTACCTGTTGTCACAAGATGTGAATCATTGCCCACTTTGCCATGTCGTACCCGATGGCCGGGTCAATCTGGATTGAGACAGCGCCATTTGACACCCAGCGACTTCCGCGCTGCGCGCCCCTCTCGTGATTGCTAACTGCGAGGTTGGCAACTTCGCTAGGTTCTGAATCGCAAAGCAGTGCTCCACGTCCGATCACCAGCTGGCTTTTCGGTGTTATCCCCAACTCTCCTCCCGAAAGCATGGCTGTGACACTAGCCGCCAACCTAATCCTAATCTAACCACGCCTCATCCCACCATAACCACAACCTGACCCTAACCGTAGGGTAGAGTGAGGCCAGGGTTGGGGTAGGTTAGCGCCTAAAGAGAGTAATGCACTTGATTGATGAGATAGAGCCCAATGTGGAGTGCAGTCCCTATAAAGTGTTGTAAGTCAAAATTGCTCCAACCTTTCTAAACTGCTGGTTTCCTCAATTCTACTTCACCTCTTAGTTATGCTGTAATTTGTCGTGCGGATTGGTAATGTTTGGTAGGCGGACTCGCACGCAGTTGTGACAGGGGATTGAGATTCTCGCATAGAGAGAGTCCGGGATGGGTTGAGACAATTTATACCTTTGCTTCAAAATACTGTCCACTCACCTTGAATTCCCTCTCCTGACTTGGGCTTAATCTCGAACTGAACGCTTCCCTAATGCTGACAATTTTTTTCTTTGCACCAACTCCACACAACTCACTCATTGCTACAAATGTTTGGGCTAGGACGCAGTCTCGCCAAGAGAGCGCAGCGCCGTTATTGTGAGGATTAGTACTTTGGAGCGTGTGTGATGAAATAAAACGCTTTTCGCGATCTTGAATGCCCTGGGTAACTTGTGCGGATTTTCTGTGAAAAGTCTCCACGCCCTTTCCCTCCCCGCCCTTCCGCAAGGCATCAGGAGGATGCCAAGTTGACGCAGAGCACCAGACAAAGGCGCCCTGCTTCTATTGGTCATGCAACAGCTTCTATAAAAAATCGACGGACGAACGGCCTCATTTCCAATTGCGCGTTGCCTGTAATCTCCCTTCCACCCCCCCGGTGGAGTCCGCGTCTTGAATCGAGGGACCATTTGAGTCACTTGGCGCCCTGCTGTTAGCGCGTCTTCTGCTGGCGACAGCGCCTATGTTCGTCTCTTGGAGTTCTTGACCTCTCCAACCGCTCTCCCTCTTTCAAACATCCGCTTTCAGGATTTCCGTCCTTATGTGATCACATTTTTGCGTTTTCCACCGGACGCTTCACCATAAGAATCGGCGCATCTTCGTTTTGACCGCCCATCGGGCAGAAGGCCTTTTTGAAACTGCTCGTCTGGCGTCGCCCATTCTCCCGCAGTATCACCCGAAGCAGCTCACTGTTCTACTTAACGCTGGTAGAACAAAGCGTGTCAAGGCAATTCTTCGTCATGTTCTCATTGCATTGAAGGTATCATATTCTTCAGATTTTAATTAAAAGCAGTCCCAGCAGCAGTGGTTTTGACCTTCGACATTAATAGCGTGGAACGATGCGCTAGCCCCTAGTCAAGAACATAAGAAGTGTGACTGAACAAAAACTCACCTTGGAAAGCCGCTAGAAAAGGCTGAACGGCTTCAAAGTGGGCGTGGTTGCTCAGTCGGCTGCAATCCCCTCGGCCGACTTCCAACCACGCCCACTTCGAAGCCGTTCAGCTCCCTTTCCAGCGGCTTTCCAAGGTGAGTTGTTCAGTCACACTTATGCTCTTGACTAGGGCTAGCGCATCGTTCCACACCATTAGTGTCGAAGGTAGAAACCCTGCTGGGGCTGTTGCTTCAATAGCTGTGATAGAGCTACCGACCTCATGTACTGATTTTCTAGCAGCGGCAGATGTCAACACAAAATCCACTTTCACGTGCTGCTTCTATGAGAAGAATGTCGACGGTCAATGCTATCGAGGAAATATCTGAAGGGAGCGAGGTACGAACAGCAGAAGACCATGATATTTGCATTAATTATGCTCAGACTGTAATGCGTATTTAGCGAGTTTTTCAGAAAAAATATCATATCGTTTCAGGATCAGAAGCTTCCTATCAATTTCGAGGAGGACTGCCCGGACTATTACGAAATTGATGACATTGCACCACTTCCCTTGCATTCACTGATCGCTGCAGATGTGGAAAATCAGCTGGACTTTAATGAAAGTGGAGGACCTCGCACGGGGGTAGGCTGACTAAGTCGATTGTTGCACTTAATCGACGAAAACCTTTCAATTTCTTTTTACTAATAACATGTCGCCTTCTAGAACTGTAGCAACATTCACAGGTCTTCGAATTTTCAGTCCGACAATCCTGCTTACGATAATCTTTTTTCGTCAAACAAATTGGAGGATAAGGATCTCAGCAAGTTGCTTGCTGAAGATGAGCCATCCGCAGGCTCCCTCCAACGTTCCGTAAGCAACGAGCGCAAGCAGACTACATCAGTTCCTACGGTTTTCTCTGCTCAACATAACAGGTATTTTACATGGCCTAAGGTTGTAGTATAGGTTGCTGCATAATTGGCTCACCTCTTTAGGTCCCTTTATTATTATAACTTCATCAGTAATTTTTTTTTCATGAAATTCAAACGCAGTCCGACGTAAGTGAGAGAGGTAAACAGTATCTCTGCTATCGACTCGATGCCAACGCTTGGCAAGTGGCTCCTAAGTTGTTGCATAGCTATCAGGGATTAGGAATACAGTGCTTACCAACAGCAATTAGTATTCATTGTTCTACGTCAGGAAACGCCAAAAATAGCACGCATATTCACGGTTCAGACTACCAGTCAGTGTTTATCTAAGGCAGGATCTGGTATTGCGTTTGAATATTTTGTTGCCCGTGCGACCCACTCCTTGTAGAGGTCTTAACCAGGGTCAACCGTCCGTTGGACAAAGTCCAACGAGGGGGGGGTCGTATTTGGGGGTGGAAAAGAGGGGGTCGTATTTCGCGAGGTAGCGTCAATGTTACAGTAAGGGAAGGGATGATTTTTTATGGAACGGAGAGCGGATTAGGTTGTAGGCTGGGATTTTGGGTTGAGTGTTGAGTGTGAAAATTTTGCCGTTTCACATTGCCCCGCCCGACGGCAATTTTGGAGGGGAAAATGGGCGGGTTGGGCTGACTGGTCTCAGAATCAAATACTATAGAATCGCCCCATGATGGCGATGGCAGGCGAGGGTGGTGGAGGATGGTCGTGAGGGGTGAACCCGGGGGGTCGTATCGAGGCCCTCTAGAAGGGGGAAGGGGGTCGTAAAATTTCCGAAGTTGGTCCAACGTGACAGTTGACTCTGGTCTTAACTGTACGAGTACCAACCTGCTCTCTCTAAAGAATGTCCCGTCTTTAATTTACAAATGCTGTTCTATCTAAAAATGCCTCTCAGGCATGAGGGAGGAATATATTGGGTTGATGCATAGTTATTGCGGCTTTTTTTCAACAAATTTTATTCAGCGAAAACGATAAAATATTTAACAAAAACATGTTTAAATGATTATTCCGGAGCGTAGTCACCATCCTTCAAGAATGCTTCCCATTTGCTTGGCAGTCGGTCGATTCCACGGGTGAAGAAGTCACGATTCTTGGAGACGACCACAAGTCATCAGCTCGTCGTAAATTTTGTTCGTTTGCCAGTTTTTCAACGACTGATTGAAGTCTGTAGGAGCTTCGGTCGGTAAATATGGCGTTTTGAACCTCTTGAACCATCTTTCAACTTGGCTTTTGCTGATTGTTCCCTCGCCGAAAAGTTCGTTGAGATCGCGAAATGACTGTGCCGCCTTCCAACCTTTCTCGAGTTGGGCATATGTGGCGGATATGAAGATGATTCTCGACAAGCATTCCTGTTAAAGGCAAAGTTCGGGCTCAGACCCACTTAATGAGCCTTTACGTGGCTAGAAGCGCTAGGTACGCAAGTGCAGAGGTCGCGTCACTTCCCTACTTCGAAAAGCGTTACTTAGACGCTAGGCGCTAAGAACTTTGACACGCTCCACCTGTTGCGACACGCTCCGCCCACCGCTCGATATCTTGTCTGCGTCGCAACTTGATCTGCTATGCTCTCTCTACTCGTACTTCTCTAGCGCTCTCCGCGCTCACATTATCTCTCATCTCCCTGCCGGCCTTTTGAACTTCTCCGCAGCGTAGAGCAAAAGGCTCGTATTTCCTGTGTATTTCACGATTTTTTTTCCTTTTTCCTTCTCCGCTGGTGATCTACTCCTTCTATCCCTACTTCACATTTGAGTATAACCACCTCATCAATTTAATCCTGAATCTTGCCTTTAATGAAGGAGACAAGAATATTCCAAAGAAAAAAAATTCAGACCAACCTAATCTTTTCGAAAAAGATACATAATTGCCTATGAAGAAGCGAAAATTACTACTTCTCAACCCATATCTCGCCCAGATCATAGAGGGCATATTCCTCTAACACGTCTCTTGCGAATGGTGCCTACTCACAGAGGTAGTGAATTAATCACTCCTGTTGGGATACCTTCGTTGAAGATGACCAGATTGGTTATTGGAGCTAGTGTGCACTCTTTAACACGTCATATATAAATGTATTAATGGAAAAACGCAAAAGTGCGGCAGCCATCAAAGTGGTGAGCTAATTTTCTGGCAACCTATGTAATTATTTAGTCATACACTATACATTTCATAAACTCATAGGATGCTAACTGAACTGCTTACTCATACACATCTCCCTGGTTTATCGAGCGTGGATCAGATGCATTTGCTGGCTATTGCTGATACACTCAGCCACTTTTCTACTGATGCTGTAGAAAAACTGAGCCATGCCACTGCAGGTAAGGCGTTCTTGATAACTGTACTTCTCACTTATATGGGTTGGGATGTGTTAGTTACTTGAAAGAAATCACTGGTGCTTGAGTAAATTGGCGGATGTGCCTACAGATTACTGAGCTGGATAAACTCTAATAGTACACAGTTAGCGTCAACTTCGTCATTGTACTGTTATTAGGTTGGAAGAAAGTTCGCGACCCTTCAAAATTTCTTTTTTTCAAAAATATCATTGGTAAACATTCACGACTTCTGACATCTCAAGGCTTCAATCCACGAGTGGATATAAGTTCTGCAGTCAGTAGTTATCCAAGAAAATTCAAAAAATCTCGACCACTAGCAAATCCGTACTCCGAGTCACTGTCTAGTACAAATGTCTACAAAACTATGGATTCGTGTCAACGACTGACACTATCTGCAATAGCTTCTATAGGCATGCCGTTCAGCGCTACAGCGTGTTTCAGCTTTACCAGCGCTTTCGATCTTTTGATATTTTTATAAGAAACCAGCAGCGTCCCATACACTCCATTGCCGGTAGGGCTCTTACGGAAACTCAACTACAGATTCTTTTTATGGGCACCATTGTGTAGCTAGAGGTCTAGGCTGCGGAACTCCAGAAGCTGGCCGAAGCAGCTCGTCAGGAGCCCTCGTACCGCGACAATATTCATTTCTTTCATGACATTGCGAATCACCATGATCCGAAATGAGCCCGGTAAGAAATTCTGGAGCTGCGGCAAGATTTCTTACCTCTCTTAGCGTATTCCCCTGGTCGAGCTATAAATGACTGCCACCTATCCTGGACCTTAAATCATCATCTTGATGACGAAATAATTAGACGATCAACTCCAACTCGAAAGTGAGGTCGCCTCCTTTCTCGACCCGCACTCCGCTGGGTTTTGGCGAAGGAGCATCAAGAAATTTTCTGAGCGTTGGAGACAAGTGGTGGACACTCATGGTAGATATAAGACCGGTCAGGAGTTATAACCAGAAAAGATAAAATTAAAATCAAAATTCGGAAAAGTGTCGCAGGACTTTCTTTCCAACCTAGGTATTTATCGCGGAGACCACTGATCTTTAGTACCTATGTCGCGGACATACTATTTCGTGGATCGCTTTGAACCCCCCCCCCTAAGATAAAAAAAATAATAGATTTCTCGTAAGTGCTTGCTGTAATGGCAGAAGACCTTTTTTGAGTAGGTGATAGGCAAAGTCAATCCTGGCGGGGAAACTGTAGATGAGTGCGGATTGCGATTTCTGATGGCAATGAAACAGTACGAATATCTGCTTTTATGTTTGCCGATTAATCAAAGAATGGAGCTGAAGGTATGTTCACCAGCGATAGTCGTGGTCGTTTTGGTCATGACATACTATTCCAGAAGAATGGACTTTCTTCGTCAGATATTATATGGGCTCAGCATTCAGAAACAGAAATTGAGCTATTGAATGCTGTTAGTAGTCTGCAAAAATCTAATCCTACATGGGAGGAGCTAAGAAGTCTGGGCATCGCTTGGTGGTTGAAGAATACAGCAAGTTTGAAGATTTGTTTGGAGAAGGTAGTTGCGATTTTCTTTCAGTTCGTTGTCATTCAGTTTTGAAAATGCATATGCACACAATTGTTAAGCGCTAAGCGTGAAAATTAGCTGCAGAATTTTGGTAAGGGTCAAGAAATGCACGAAGTGAAGTGGTTTCCTTTCTGACATTCAAAAGTAGCATTATGTAGAGTTCTTAAGATGTGAAAGAAATCCGAAGCAATGTTTCTAGAGTCATAAATATACATACATGTTTGGAAGACTAGCCAATTATGGCTTGAGTACTTGTGGTGTAGAATCCGCAGTTCGGAATGAAATAGCCGTAGAACTGTGCAGATGTTTACGTTGTGTCGTAGGAACGAAAATCACAAAAACGTTTGGATTAGTTGGATGTTGGCTTTTGTACCTTCGACGACGCGTAGACGACGTCAAAGAAAGGTTCCAGGTCGCCATGATCATCCACTAATATATGCATGTACACTCGTAGATGTGTTTTGGACGATAATCTCAGATCGGCCTTTAAAATCTGTTATACAATTCCCTGAACGGAGTTATGAAGTAAAAGAGCATGAAGGCAGAGTCAACCCTGCGTTGCGCAGTTCTCAACGGCCACGTTGCGCAGTTTCGCCCGATTAGACACGTTCTCTCGCGCGAACATTCACACTCGCATGCTCGAGCCGTCTGTGTCTCCGCCCATACAGCGTGCGTTGAGGATCTCTCAACGTGCCGTTGCGAACTGCGCAACGCAGGGTTGACTCTGCATGAAGGTAGGCGATGGCTCACAGACAAGAATGTTGTGTGTTCTAAGTCACTTGTCGTGTCTACTGTTTTGCTTTTTTTGGAAATACATCTCTAACGGCTTTTGACAGCCTACTTAGTCGTATTGCCGAGAAGACAGACACCCAGACAGGACAAGGGATCGGTTGCGGGCTCGTGGTCCAGGAGAAGACCTGCGGGTGGCCAAGGATGGAAACCGGGTGCCCGCTAAGGAACATGAGCCACGACAACCTAACAGTAAACGCCCCGCGGTGAACGCTTACTTTAAGATGAACTAAGGCGTTTAAGAACCCAACAAACTGACCGAATTGCAACGACCTAATAAGCAAACACTTGTGGGATTTGACCCGTATTACTACACTACACGAACACCGAACTATTAAGAATTTATGATTGTAACCTTTCTTTTCAATGAACTATCAAATGTTAGTAACGACTAAAAACAAGAACTAACTCACGTCGGGTCGCCTTCCTCGACCCGCCGATTGACCACACAGATTTTGGACTAGGAATAACATCACCAGATTAGTTCTAAGGGCTAACGCCCTGCGAGACTGCCGAACGAGAGCGTGAAGGGGAAGAACCGTGGACGTAGAGGGAAACACCGGGCCGGGCCGTGATGGTGCTGTTGCGAACAGCCCGTGCGTTGCCGCACGATCACGGATAGATCAGACGGGGTCATGTCGGCAGTACATCGCAGGCGAAGGTGCGCCCAGGGTTCTTTTGGAGCGATCGACGTGTTACGCGACAGGAAATCGTTTTATGAGTTCTCAACTGTGATTCCCCTACCGACCACTACCCGTAAGCGCCAATTTGCTTCTTAACCGTTCAGCCAGCAGGGTCCTACAACCGCGACCTGCCCCTTACGTTGCTACAAGTAACAACGTATGGGGGTCGTAGTTTGTTGAAGTTGTGGTGGGGGTCGTACTTGTTTCGGTAGCGTGACAATTACATGTGATGAGGTGAAAGCGCGCGGGAGAAAATTTGCCGTTTCAGCGTGCGTATATCCTCCCCTCTCCTGCCCTCCTTAAAATGGGCAGTAAAAATATAGAAATATAGGAATTTCTGCGGTTTTCGTAGTTTCCCCTCGCTCGACGGTGTTTTTGAAGGGAAAAGTGGCTGTGAAGAGAGGGATCGTGGAACTTTTCGTGAAGGAGGGAGAGTCGTAAAAATTTTGCAAAAAGTATCAACGATAGGACCGACTCTGGTTCAGAGCCCTTTGGGAGCGTCAGTGCTCTCGAATAGTATAGTTGGTATCATTGGAAAGCAAATATGCTTGACGTCAACTCAGATGTTGCGCTCCGAAAGCTAGCGTGAACAAAACACTGAGGAAGTCAGGAAATATGGCCGAGGCAGAATCCAACTCTCGATTAAACCCGATTATGTTTGGATTGGATGAGGCATGGGCCATGATACAGAAACATGAACTATACGAAATCCTTTGGATGGGCTGGACACCACAGTGGGCCGCGCCGAAGACAAGAATCCTATATCAGATCATCCAAAGAAAGGGAAAAATGGGTCGATATGAACCGGGTTAGTGGAAGCGATTAAAAAGACACATTCTGGATGGGCGAGGCATTTCTGGCGCACACGAAGCACAGCAAGAGCTGACACGGTATGGATAAACGAAACAGCATGATCACGTTGACATCGCTATTCTGTGCCTATTATTGCCCCCCCCCCTCCCACTTTCAAAAACTTAATACGACCTCCTGTCGAAATACTCCGATGGTAGCTCACCTGCTTCAAACCCCATATCAGTAGGAAACCATTCTGTTCCGTCTTTTGCTGTTGTCGTCCAGGTCGACTTGAAGCTCGTCGGAGATGACCCGTTGAGATTTCGTTAGGCTACATCTACGGCTATCTCAATAATATTGAAGTATGGCTACATCTATGGCTTTCTCAATAATATTTAAGTAGCTGACGCTCTATGACACATCGCACTATGTGAGTATAGCGTTCGCGGGGTTGCCTCACAGGATGACGGAGCTAGGGCAGGCGCTTAGGAGTCTGGCTTGATAACGGTTTCTGAACCTCAAAGTCCAACGATGGAACATATAGAAGCCCTCGATTGACGTGAATGTACAGCTTACCCTTATCTTGGTTCTGTCTCTGGGCACGTGAAAGGGAAGGATGGATCAGAATAGCGTGAGGTTCTGAACCACCCAAACGATTGGCGGTCTTTTTAGATGTCCGTCTTTGACGATTTATAAAATTCTGACATATTGTGCAAGCATTTTCATCTGAAAATATGTCGTCCACCTTCTTTTCATTTCAATCATATGTCATATATTTAGCTAGCTAAGGCTGCTTTCCAACAAAATCAAGATCCGAATGGATGCTTCCTTGTACTACATGGCTATGACGTAAAGAGAAATGTGCTGACCTCAATCTTTTCAAAGTAACGGCAAATCCATTATGACCAGCAATGAATTTATGATACAGTCGCGCAGGAAGTGTTGTTGAATTTAAAGCGTTAACAGTTGGTTTGAAAAAGCACAAAGCGTAAATTACATAGAATTCTCGACAATTACTAGGCTTCGTTCTGTATTCTGACCCAAGAGTTCGTGGCAGGATCTAGCTGGTGCACTAAAAGTCCTATCTCCATGGATAAATTTTTGTGAATCCTCAGTTCGTCTGATGCTACCTCATGAAGATGTAAATGAGACCCATTAAATTCGCATGACAGACTGCAGCGAAGGCGGAAAAAAAAAGTTGAAAGCCTTGCCTGGTGATAAATCTCACCAGGAAAAGCTTTCAACTCCTCGTGCAACTTGTCTTGAGCTCAGAATGAGACCGAGATATGTCGATAGAACCTGGAACGCTGGTTACAAACAGGGATAACCAGAAATGGAAAACCGATCTATCAGAGGTTGTGAGCAGTCACAGTTGACTGGAAATTCAGCGTTACCCATAAACCAATATGTCCTGGAAGCTTTCAAGGTCGTCGTGAGTAGTGGTAAGTGGTCTCCCTCTGCGGGCGGCAAGGGCGAATTCGCTTTCCGTTGGAGTGCCAACACTCAGTCGTGCTTAAGATCCAGTGTAAGGTTTGCTCATCTATAAAAAGCAGGCAACGCCACACGGATGTCTTTTTCGAGATCTTATTAGCATCAATACTTGGAAGATTTTTAAGATGTAAGATTTGAAGTAATTTGGTCGCAAAACTTGTGGCGCCAAGGCCGATGTCAGACTTTGCGAATCGCGCGATTCGCTACTAGCGATTCGCTAGCGTCCGCGGTCGCGTTGCGGTACCAGCCAATTGAGTGATTCACTGGCCGCGACGCGACCGCAGACGCTAGCGAATCGCGCGATTCGCAAAGTCTGACATCGGCCTAAGCTGGCATCAAGGTGGTCTCTTCACTAAACGCCAACCTCATATTCGTGACCAGGACGCCTCGCATAAAGGCAGTTTTGGAGGATGTCGAGGCTTCGTCCTAATTTCGAAAAAGGAAAAATTCATGGATGCAGTGTCCAACCATGATTGCCTGCGAACGATTTGAGGGCAAACCTCGTTGTCCTCACAGGTTTCTCCCGGCCCCGGAGCCCCCATCTGGTAGACATTGACCGTGATGGTTTAGTATGTGGTCTCGCACTTTTCCCTGCTTCTTGTCGTAAGTGGACTGCTTTCAAAGACCTAAATGATCCACGCAAGAAAACCTTTGGCTCACCCACAAATGAACACTTCGTATGCTACGCAGATTCTACATGTTAAATTCTGTCTATCACATGTTCAGGTCCTACGACGGCATAACATTTCTTGGTGCATGACGAGATGCCGATCTACCCATGGCTGCTCACTTTTTTGAAATTCGAAAAAAATCTTGTTTCACGCTAAAACTGCCTGTAGGGGTGAGTAGGTGTGCTGATTGCCATATGAGATTCGCTTTTAACGGAGAGGCAATCCACTGTCGGCTTGGCGCCACAACTTTTTTCCACCAATTTCGTTGAAATCTGTACTGATGAATGGGTTGTACGATAACGCGCCACAGTGTGACCATGCCCGCAGACCCTACCAGATTTTGTAGCATTTCATTGTGCTCCCTAGAAGCCAAATGACAATCTTGCGTGTTGTGAATGGTATCGCAATCCTTGCACTGAATTTGTGATACTTTGACGTCAATTTTGGTGACTTTCAATCCAGCAGATCATCTGTTTTTAGACCGTGAGGAATCAGAAGATGGCAGAATTTTTCACCCAAGATTTCACCAAAGATCACTGGAAAAAAGTGAGTTGCCTTGAGTACTTCACTGTTCCTGACACACTAACTTTCGACACTTGTAGGTAGCGGCGAAGAATGCATTTGTGCTTATGAGTAAGCAGCGATTTCATCATGCTGCTGCATTTTTCCTATTGAGTGGAAGCATCAGAGACGCTGTTCAGGTTCAAAAATTCTTTTTTGTGCATTGTAGTCAGGAAAAGGTTTTTTTATTCAAAATTTAATTCGTGATTTTTTTTTCAGACAATTCTCCGCAAATGCCGCGATTTACAGTTGGCTATTGTAGTTCTACGTCTTTACGAAACTGATGTCGATGTGCAGCAAGCAATGCTCAAAGAAATGTTATGCCGGTAGATACTAGCTTCATAGAACATTATTTTATTCCAGCTGTTAGCGAGTTTTTAGTGAAGTGCTTGGACAATCCCCGGAAGATTTTGAAGAGTTCCGTGGAGTAATAGACAACGACAGTAGTTCTTGGAGCCCTGAAGCGAGCAAGTAAGGAACCATTCAAATTTTATCACAGTGCAGCCTAATTATTTATATTCAGGGATCCTTTCTTGAGATCTATGACGTACTGGTTTCTAAAGGATTACACGCGATCAGCCCATACGCTTGTTCAAGAGGCACACCGTGATGGAGCTACTTTACGGACACCTCTTTCTGACATTTTCAATTTTTACTCTTTTCTTAGAAGGCATCCCCTTGTTGTTAGACAGCGTATTGCTGATGCTGGTGTGAAGGTACGGGAAAAATGACTCAAGTTGTGCTGAAACATTATTCATAACGAATTGGTTAAGGTCAGTTCAACAGAGCAGTTCCTAGCTATTGGGAAAGCACTCGAGAGACAGGTCACCTCATCGGAACGCAGGTATTGTGATCACTCGCTTGCATTCTCGTCTTTTTTCCTCTTTGGCTCTACTCTCATCCTGTGCACAATTTGCAAATGAGGCAAAAGATGCGTAGTGTTTTGTAGTTCCCAAGTAGGATTACCTCTGGTCGGAGAAATTTGTCGTAATCAGAATATTGATGAACTTTTTCGTAACCTGAATATTGATTCACCCAAGCCGTAATTTGAGGATTCGTAGGCGGTTGAAATCCTTTTCTAATAGTATGTGGCCTGCCGATGTGGAACTGAACAAAAGAATCTGTCTGAAGCACCAGAAATGGGGTCCTTTCTGCAGTTGACGATAACATCATGTGCATGACTGAGTGTGCTTGCTGGGTGTACGTATGAGCGCTGGAACATGTAGTTCCAACGCTGATCGGACTTGAATTTGTCTGTTCTTGTTACATCTTTCCCTACTCTTAAAGCAACAGTCCCAGCAGGGTGGGCGTGGTCGGAAACGACTGCAATCCCCTCGGCCGATTCCGACCACGCCCACTTCAGCTCCCTCCCTAGCGGCTTTCCAAGGTGAGTTTTTGTTCAGTCACACTTCTTACGTTCTTGACTAGGGGCTGAACAGCTCCGAAGTGGGAATCGGCCGAGGGGATTGCAGCCGTTTCCGACCACGCCCACCCTGCTGGGACTGTTGCTTTAAGGCATGCGGATGGCGGAAGGACAAGCATACATACTGACATACACACCGACAAATCGACACATCAAGGAAAAAGTCCATAAATGGAGTGGTGTTTGTTTCTGGAACGCTCAATAGCGCATTCGTCTCTCATCTTTTCCTATCACACTCTTTCCATTCATCTTCTCTACACCGTTCATACTATGTGCTTGTTGCAGGCTCTATTTCCGAACTGCTGCTGAACACATGGCGCATGGTTGCCCCATGCTTGCTTTGGACGTACTGAGTCGATTACCGAAAAACATCTGCAGTGGAGACGGAGGATTACTTGATGCATCTTTCTCAGGACCAATGAGTACTCTCGCCTTCAAATGACCAGAAATTGTGCAATTGCAGAAATTGACGTGGCATTAACGTGGCATCGATTCAAGAACATCTTTGAGCACACGTGATGTCACCTTTTCATCGAGAATTTAGCCACGTGTGCCAATGCCACGTCAATTTCTGCAACTGCACAATTTCTGTTTCATCGCATGCACTGACGAGTACTGCGGGATGGACGCAATATCTTGCTACAGCGACACTGCGATCATAACACGTCTTCGCTGTTTGAGGGTAGCATCGGGTTAGGGAGTAGTTTCTGCTCCACGTACTAGATGTTGCGGTGGTAAAAATTCTCATAGTGTTGGGGGTTTCTACATTTTTTATTTTCGAGGGGTACGGTGAATTATCTCTAAGGTCATTCATTAGCGGAGCAACTAATGCTTCATTTTTAACCCACTGACGATTGCTTTTGTGGATGTATCGCGGCAAATTTTTTCGTACATTTTCCTCTGTAGTAATTAATCCTTTAATTATTCCATTATCCCAAATCAAATTGTTTTCCGGACCGAATAATGCAGGTGGACCGTTTTGGAAACGAAAAAGCGAAAAATAAGTGTAGCGAAGCTAGTCAGCTTCGTGAGAAAGTGTGGCATGACGTCACTTGTCGAATGGTAGGCAATCACAGGAGCATTTGTAGAGAGTGTTCGGATAATGAAGCATTATTACCCATCGTCGATTGTAAATCTTAATTTCGCGCGAGGAACTGGACAGAGTACCTGTGCAAGTTCGAAAAGCGGAACCGGATCGTAGTGTGTGGTGATCCAAGGTTGAGCTTTTCTCATGAAAGCACGCTTCTCAGAAACCAACTGACTGGAGGTATCGAGCGCATACTTAAACGTTTCTTACAAATTTCAAGGAACCTTCTCTAAGGTGTTGATCTTTATGATTTTAAACAGGTGCTTTCCAACTCTCCGCTTTTGCTCGACATTTGTCTCAGTGTGCCACCATTTTTAGTTTTCTCATCAAGACGTGACGGGATGCTCCGACGTTATTGCTCAACATCTCAAGTTTGTTGCTTCTATGCGGATTTTCACAGAAGAGTTGTCCACGTTGGCAAGCGGATGTGAAGTTGACGGGGGACGCTTCAGGAAACAGGTACTTCTATTTTCATTTTTTTATACGAAATAACTGAATGGATTAAATTTTGGTGATAACATGGCTCTTGCTCAATTTTCATTGAATTTGCAAGGAAAATGGCTACAGGGCGTTTCCAGAGGATCTCTAATTAGAAAGGTCGGCTAGAGTAGGGCGCTGAAACGGTTCCAACGCGCCGACGGCAGCGCAGGATAAATATTAGGTTGGAGAAAAAGACCTGCAATATTTTCAAAAGTTTTTTTTTTCTGAAGGTAACCTTTATGAAAAACAGGTAGAGCATTCTCTAGATTTTCATCCACTGGGTGAGTATAAGCTGTGCAATGGTGCTGGCGCTAGTCGGCACCAACCGGTAAGACCGCCGTCACACTCGGCGACGAACAAGCAGTGGAGCGATCGCGTCGCTCCATCGCTTGTCCGTCGCCGAGTGTGACGGCGGTCTACGTTTCAGCTCGAAGCGTAAAAAAATTGAGCAGTCGAACAATGAACCAAACTTTCACTCCTATTTTGACATTCAGAAAACCGTTCATAGAAATTTCACATCGTTCCTGTATCCCTTGCATCTGCTCTTGTAAAATGCGGAAAATGCGAAAATTCATTCCACAACGCACTCATGTTCTAAATGAGCTTCCATTGGTTGTGGACACTTGTGCGACTAATGGTGACAGCCAGCTGCTGTAAGTCTCCCATCCTATCTGACAGGTTATCATTGATTTTCGTCTGCGATGCTCAGCCGCAGTATGGGGTGATTCGACCAGTACATTGACGAAGGACTTCTATTATTTTTGAAAAAAGTAAGTCAAGGACGCGGGTACACGCGGGTACGGTCCCCGGATTGTAAAGGGAGGTCGGAAATAATTGTATTGATGGAAGTGTCAGCACTAATTGTAAGTTGTTGAAGTCGTAGTCAGTATGTTGAACACATCTGGATCACATCGGAGACACGTTGGATGGTAACTGTGATGTGTGGGGTGTTTGCTGTGGTTTGAATAGCTTCAAGCAGGGTACTTTGTAACAATAAATACACAGAGCTATTCCTTAACAGACTTTTTTTTGCAATTCATCACATATAGCATTTAGCTTTTCCACTGGATTGGAAAGGAAGTGGAAGTTCTGAAGACGTTGTGCGATTATCGTTCATCCTCTAGTGATAGTTCCATGCTGAGTGAAGCACCAGAAACGGAACCTTCGTCGGAGTAAGTGTACATAGGATGCTAAAATTCACTATTCTTTCTAGTTGTATGTACATACACCTCGAGCTGGAATAAGCATAGAAAGCAAATCGTTGACAGAATCTGGCTGCTGGAGCCGCAAGATGAATCATTCACTATTACCAAGTCGGTATCATTAGAAAAGCCACAAGCCAGCAGAAGTAACAGTGGCAATCCAGACTCCCTTCATATTCCACACGGAGGAAATTCATTGACCTCGCTCCATCTCGGGATGTGCTTGGCTACTAAATATTTACGCATGGTTTACTGATCATATTTTAATGCGCTTGGGCCTTCACTTTTTTATGCTTGTTTCCATACAGAGCAATACGTAGAGTGCAACACTCACAAAAATATTTAGAATCAATCTTTGGTTCTCTGGTATACAAACTGCTCGTTGTACTCACCTTGGAACCTTTAGCTCAGAACTGCATTCTATATCTGCTAGAATGCGCAGGCTCGTGGTCTCAAGCGCAAGCAAGATGTTGAGCTTTCGG